GCTAGACCAAATAATCCTGAAACTTGTATGGAGCCATAAAAGAAAAGCCTGAATAGCCAGAGGAATGTTGAAAAAGAAAACCAAAGCTGGAGGCATCCCAATTCCAGACTTCAAGCTCTATTACAAAGCTGTCATCATCAAGACAGTATGGCGCTGGCACAAAAACAGACACAAATCAGTGGAACAGAATAGAGAGCCCAGCAATGGACCCTCAACTCTATGGTCAACTAATCTTCAACAAAGCAGGAAAGAATGTCCAATGGAAAAAAGACAGCCTCTTCAACAAATGGTGTTGGGGAAACTAGACAACCACACACAGAAGAATCAAATTGGACCATTTTCTTACACCACACACAAAAATAGACTCAAAATGAATGAAAGAGCTAAAGGTAAGACAGGAATCCATCAAAATCCTTGAGGAGAACACAGTCAGGAACCCCTTTGGCTTCACCCACAGCAACTTCTTGTTAGACATGTGTCCAAAGCCAAGGGAAACAAAGGCAAAAATGAACTCTAGGGACTTCATCAAGCTAAAAAGCTTTTACACAGCAAAGGAAATAGTCAACAAAACCAAAAGATAACTGAAAGAATGGGAGAAGATATTTGCAAATGACACATCAGATAAAGGGCTAGTATCTAAAATCTATAAAGAAGTTATCAAACTCAACACCCAAAGAACAAACAACCCAATCAAGAAATGGGCAGAAGACATGAACAGACATTTCTGCAAAGACGTCCAAATGGCCAACAGACACATGAAAAAGTGTTCAATGTCACTCGGCATCAGGGAAATACAAATCAAAACCACAATGAGATCCCACTTCACACCAGTCAAAATGGTTAAAATTAACAATTCAGGAAATGACAGTTGTTGGAGAGGGTGTGGAGAAAGGGGAACCCTCCTACACTGTTGGTGGGACTGCAAGCTGGTGCAGCCACTCTGGAAAACAGCATGGAGGTTCCTCAAAAAGTTGAAAATAGAGCTACCCTATGGCTCAGCAATCGCCCTACTGGGTATTTACCCTAAAGATACAAATGTAGTGATCTGAAGGGGCACGTGCACCCGAATGTTTATAGCAGCAATGTCACAATAGCCCAACTACGGAAAGAGCCCAGATGTCCATCAACAGTTGAATGAATAAAGAAGATATGGTGTATCTATACAATGGAATACAACTCAGCCATCAAAAAGATGAAATCTTGCCACTTGCAACAATGTGGATGGAACTAGAGGTTATTACACTAAGTGAAATAAGTCAATCAGAGAAAGACAAATACCATATGATTTCACTCATATGTTGAATTTAAGAGACAAGACAGAAGATCACAGGGGACGGATTGAAAAATAAAACAAGGCAAAGTCAGAGAGGGAGACAAACCATAAGAGACTCTTAATCATAGGAAACAAACTGAGGGTTGCTGGAGGGGCTGTGGGTGGGGGGATGGGGTAACTGGGTGATGGACATTAAGGAGGGCACATGATGTAACAAGCCCTGGGTATTATATAAGACTGATAAACCACTGGGCTCTACCTCTGAAACTAATAATACACTATGTGTTAATTAATTGAATTTAAACTTAAAAAATTATACATTTACAAAGCCAAAAAAAAAAAAAAGAAAAAAGTCAGGGACAACACAAACCTTTACTGTGTTGTCTCAGGACTGTGTCACTTTCCTTACAGTCTTTCATAACACAGTCCTAAGGTTGCTGGACCATCTTTCTATCCCATAGGAGCCATGCTAGTCCCTGACACTGAAGGCACAGCTCATCAGGTTCTGGTTGGCATAAACCACAAGCCGGAAGGTGGGAGATAAATATGGCACAACTTCACAGGGATGCTGACATTTCTGGAGGTCGGGTTGTCTGGGCCATGTCAGGAGATCTATAGTGGAGAGCAAGCTGCCGCCGCTTCCACCGCCCTGCAGGAAGAGAAACCAGAGTGCTTGTTGGACTTCTTTGTGTTTCGAAGGTAACACATATCACTCAAAAGCCTGCCAGTTTTGAGCAGAACTTAGCGCAAGAAAGGGGTCCATGCCGTAGCCTAGGTGTCCCTGTCCCTGGGGCATTGTGACTCAGGGACCCACATGGATGGGAACTATCAGTGGCTGTAGGGAATTCTCTGCCCTAGCAGGGGAGTAACAGCACAGAACTTTGGAGTTTTCTTTGTGAAAAGAAGTTCTTGCCTTGCTGCTGGACCCTGACTGAGACAGTGTGCCTGACTATGGGAGGCCAAGTGATAATGTTGAGTTGCTTGTTGAACTGGGTGGTATATGTTCCACTGAAACCGTAAAACAGAATACGGGCAGCAGCATCCCCTGTACGTGGAGATGGTGGATATGACGCCAGGTTTCAGCAGGCCCTGGAGGACTCTGGCAAATTGTACAAGCAGGTGAGTCAGACTTCCACGTACTTCCTCTTTGTGACCTGGATGCCTTTCCCTCAATGCACACCTCTAGCTTCATGGGGATTCCATAAGACAGACAAACCAAAACAAAATAAAGACCCGAAAACAGATGTCCCGCTTTGCCCTAGGTAGTACTGGTTTATACCCATTGTCAGCATTCATTTATCATTCATGACACCACTTTTCTTTCTTTCTTTCTTTCTTTTTTTCAAGTGATTTTATATATTCCCTTGACAGAGAGAGAGAGAGAGACATAGAGAGCAATCGCACAAGCAGGGGGAGTGGCAGGCAGAGGGAGAGAGAGAAGCAGGCTGCCCGCTGAGTAGGGAGCCCAATGTGGGCTCCATCCCAGGACTCTGAGACCATGATCTGAGCTGAAGGCTGATGCCCAGGGACTCAGCCATCCAGGTGCCCTATGACACGTCTTTTCATTATCAAAAGTGTCCCAGTTTGGAGAATCAATTTCATGCCTTCCCCATCGATGATCGGTTAATGGAGAGGAAAAAGTATGCCCCTGGTTTGTGGATTTCTGTATGGGATTCTAGCATCTGCTGCAAGTGCACAGTCAGGGTGCCACAATCCTGCTCAGTGGGCAGGACGCTGAAAGGTATGTCTGGTTGTCTATTTTGTTTGGAAGGAGAGATGACCTGAGATAGATTCATCCTGCCTCAGCCTCAGTGCCATATTGCTCAGCGGGTTAGGGCCTTGAAGAGTAAAATTGGAAAATTGGCCATAAGGAGGTCTAGACGGCAAGCTATCAGCATGGGCCTCCCGCGATGGGATGTATTATGAAAATATTTGTTTCTCATTATTATGAAAATATTTGTTTCTCATGTAAATGCCTGATAGAGGGGAGCCACCGTGGAGGAATTCTCAATAATTAGGGTGGCTCCTGTGGGTGACATTTAGCCTCTATCCTTGGCCAACTTGGTGTTTGCTCACGGGACCCGTGTTTGAGGTGGACATGGTGGCAGGGAGAGAGGCTATTCAAGGGCTCAACAACACAGTATCCCCCTGGTCAAAGCTGATCTACCTATCAGTGCTGTTCAGTGCCCGGTCTGCCAATAGGGAGGCCACCTTTGAGACCTTGGTATGACAACATTCGCCAGGGAAACTAGCATGTGCGATCTCACAAATGCACACTCTCAACTGCAAAGAAGCAGCTGGTGGTGTGCGGAGTGTACGTGGAAAAGCACAATTCATCAGATAACAGGAACAATTCGGTTCCCTTCTCATTGCTGCGCTTTTGCTGGGTTCTCTTCATGAGAAGGACCAGTAGGAAAAGGAGGAAACTGCTGGGACTCAGTGATTTTCTCTGAGAACTTCATGTCCTATAGTTCTCACAACAACCTTGGGAGGTGGGTTGGGTCGTAGCTCCATTATAGAAATGAAAACACAGGATCAGAGAAGTAAGTCTCACTTCCAAAGGCTCATAGATGAAGGTTGAACCCAGATCTGTCCATACATCTTTTGCCGCACTCTTGGTCGGAGACGGTCTGGCCTGCTACGGGGTGTCAGTGGGCGTCTGCTGGCTCACTTGGACCTCATTTTCCTGCCCTCACACCTCTGCCAGAGCTGCTACAAGACACACACTGAATTGTAATCTGCAGGTCTCCCGCCACAGAGTGGGGGTGAGCAGAGCTCTGCCTGAAAAGAGGGAGACAACAGGGGGTGACTTTGTGCTCCTGCTAAGACTCCTGAAGTATCCAAGGTCTGGAGGCCTCAGAGCGTCTTTCCTGGGCTGTATCCCCAGAATCTCTATAGGGGATAGAGGGGGTTCTGAGTTCTGTAGAGTCTAAGAGCTGGCCAGGCAACTGGGGAGGAGGTGCTCAGAATGGGGCAGGAGGCTACTTTCCACAGGCAACCAGATCTGGTCTCAGAACCTCTTCATTTAGGCCAATAGTCCTGACTGACCCATACCTAGCTTCGGTGACAAGTAACAATCATTTTCTGGTTCCCTTTTTATCCAGAGCAATTCACAGGAATGAGCTAATTCTCACACGGCACCCACATGACTCTTCTTGGGTTTCTTCCTCCTGGAGGCCTTGTTCTGCAAATGCTTTCAATACTGTTCTGAGAAAACTCATCTGACCCCTCCCAGGCCCTCCAAGGCTTCTTAGGCTTCTGTGGCTTTGGGGGCACCCCGGGCTTGGCATTTTCATAGCACTTTTCACACGTGCTGTGGGGTTGGGAATATCTACTTTGCAGTGTTGTTGTGAGATAATATATGTTAAGTAGGTGATTTGGTCCGAGTGGCTGTTTCTATAGCAGAACAAATTGTGATTGTCTGCGGTCCAAACATTCCCACTGTAAGCACTAGGGAAGGGACTGTGTCCCTGTTGCCTAGCCAGGGCCCCGGACATTGGTAGATACTCAGTAAACTTTCTATGAAAGAATGAACAACTCAGATAAAATGGGCTAAAGAATAGCATGAAAAGGGAATGCATACGCCTTTCTTAACCATTTGAATATATGTAAATAATGAACGTATAATTCCTGATATTTTCCAATGAGAAAAATTCTTTATTTAAAACAGGCTAAGTGTTTTTACTAGATTAAATAAAATACTCTACAAATGAGAATTTTAAATCCAATATACCAAACCCAGTAATACCAGTCAGGGATTGCTCACCAATCCCTGTTTACTAATGTTTGAATGATATATCTCATAATTCTGCAAATATGTGCCTTTGCCTAGAGAAACATTTCCGAAGCAATGTCACATTTCCTGGATATAACAGTGTCATGCTAGTTAGAGAAATTCTGTAATACCAAAGACAGCTGAGAAACAGTGATTTTCCAATGCAGAGACCCTTAGACTTGCTCTAATGTCATTAATAGTGTTTCTAAATCACAGAGACGGTCGACACATTTTATTTCAGTAAGAGAGTGAAAGCAAAAAGGGGACCTACACTATTTCTAGCCACTTATATTTATTAATATATGCTTAGCATTTTCAATGCCTTTGCTGCAGAAGGGTAGAAAGTGTGTTAGCAAAAAGATATACTATGGGGACAAAGCTGGGGAGCTTGTGCATACAGAAGGTAGCTGATAATCTCCAGGCTCTCAGGGCTCTTGGAAATGCCACACATCGTGCATAATCTGGGGCTGCTGTGCGTTGTTTTCTGGTATCAGTGTTTGCTGAGTGTCTGGGGTCGCTGTGGTATCTGTGGGCGTTTCTTCCAGAGGTGTGGTCACATCAGCACTGTAGTTCTCATAAATATCAGCTAATCCAGGGGTCATCAGTGGGTCAGCGTCTGCTGGGGTGACCCTGAGGGGTCCCCCACTCTGCCCAGCTGGGCCTCTTGCCATGTTGGGGTCGTTGCCCTTTGGATGAGCAAGAAGCCCTCCCAGGGCACCAGGTGCTACCTCTGGAAGGAGAGCTGGGTTTTCTGGATTGGCTGGGTCGACTTCAGTCAAAGGGGAGCCTTGGGCACCTCCTTCTCCCTTCTCAGGGCCTTTGGTTCCGGCGACTGGGGAGTCAAATTCCAGAGTAAAGTCTCCACCCATAGCTGGATTGTGGGGCATCCCTCCAAGGTTAGGCCTCATGCCTCCAAATCCTGGGAACATGGCTCCATAGGCCATGGGGCTTCCTCTGCCTCCCTGGGGAAAAAATCCATTGACCGAAGACACCATTATCACATATGATGAAGTATACTATGCAATCATACGTGGTCAGCTTCACCAAGAAACCACAAAAAGCTGATAGGAAACAGCTCACAGAAGCTGACTTAGAGCTTTGTGTGAGCACACTTCTCACTAAAATGGCTTTGACATAGAAAGGAGAGAACTTTGTACTTTTCTGGTTGCTCACTTCTGTGAAAGACAGGGGGACACCCTTTGCCATGTCTGGATGAAAGCGGGAGAAGGAGAGATGTGGAGAAGCAGGGCAGAAGCAAGGCTATAGGCAAAAGATAGTTTGAATTTAATTTTAAGAATACAATAAGCAGGCAAAATAGACAATACCATCATAAAACAAAGAAAAATGGATCCGTTGCTGAGTTTGTTGAGGGATGTTTTAGAGAACTAGGTCAACATCATTTCTAAAATAAATGAAACCTCACATAAGATTTCCTTCTTTCCTTCCTTGCTCTCTCTCTCTCTCTCTCTCTCTCTCCCTTCCTTTCTCCCTCCCTCCCTCCATCCATCCCTCTCCCTTCCTTCCTCCCTCCCTTTCTTTCTTCCTCCCTCCCTTTCTTCCTTTCGGAACATGTGAAGAAAAAGAAGCTTGATGTCTCCGGAGGGGTGGAAATATTTTCTTCCTGTGGACAGTTAGAATTGTAGAACTGACCATATTTCCTTTTTCTGCCTTTGCTGTCAAAAATGCCGAACCCAACATCTTGGGCTATTTACAGTGACTGTGCAGAATCTTATAACTTGCATTTTTGTAATCTCTCTTACAATTTTGACTCATTTAAAATTTTATCTTCAATTTTTGGTTACATTTATTGTGTTTTTTTTTTCATAAGCTGCAGCAAAATCTTTTGAGCAGACTATAAATTGAGGCAGACTATAAATTAATTAAAATTATAAGATGATAATTAATACTCGCTTGAATTTTCGGCCAGTTGAGTTGGTGGTATGTGGATCCAGTATTCTTTTCTCCTACCTTCCCCTGGATCTCCACTCTCTACATCTCCCCTCTCATATCATCTCCTTGAGCCCCTAGGCTGGGCTAACTTCCTCTCCCTCCTCCCTCTCTCATAGCCCTGTTGCCCTTTATCCCATCATTTTGACACTATCTGCCCTTATATCTACATTTTCTATTGGTGAGACAGTAAGCTCCTTGAAAACAGAAACCTTATCTAATTTTTGTTGCCTCTGTAGCGTCTTTCTATGCATTTAGTTCACAGAAGGCCCTCTAGAATGTTGGGATGTGAGTGTTCTGTCACTGATAGCGTGTATCTGTATTTATTAATTTGATAGGACTGTAGTGGATAATGACTTAATTTAGTATGGTGCTTGTCTTGATTTGTGCTCTAACAGATGTAACTGGTAGAAATCGCTGAGGGAAAATATAAAATTGTGCAAGTCTATCGGTCTCAAATTTCAAAGTGGTCATATGCATGGATAGTAGAAAAAGAATATCCTCACATGAACTCATTCATGCACTTTGGATTTTATACTGATCACATTTTAAACTTAGTTGGTTTTCTTTTCTTTTTTTTTTTTTCAATCTGAATATAGTTGACACCCAATGTCACGTTGGTTTCATGTGTATAACATTGTGAAGTGTTGTATGGTGACAGATGGGGAACTACACTTGTAGTGAACATGAGACAATATATAAACTTGTTCATTTTCTTCTTCTTTTTGACCTCTCAATTTTGAGGTCTAAATGACTTGCAACGCAGTTGAATTGTTGTCTCGAGGGGTTAATAGTCCAAGAGGAAGTGGGAATTCTGTACAAATGATATATCTCTTCTTTTGGTTTGAGCATATGCTATTCAGTGATAATGGCTTTTCAAGAGTGGTTTCTGCCCTGCGCATATTCAAGAAATGGGGCAAATCCCATGTTCTAGAATGGCCATTGCTCAGAAATGATGATATGGGAAACATGGGGAAATCTTTGCCTGTTGCATAAGAATCAAGTTTTTGGTTCTGGAGATGAACCATCTGGAGTCCTGTGCAGTATATTCAATGACATTCATGGCCAATGCCTCTTGCAGGAAGTCATCTGTGACTACTCTCCCCAGACCACTATTTTAATAAGAATTTGAAGACATTACTCACCGCCATTTCTTCTGAACTCATGATGCCAAGTCTGGCAGGAGTGTTCTGTTCAAAAAGAAACAGGCATCAATAGCAGATTCCTATTATCCTATTAGCTACTCAAGACAAAGTTAAAAGTCACTTAGCTTTTCCTGAAGACTTAATGTTAATACTGTGCCCAGAAGCAGAGTAAAGTGGAGAGATGAGTCATTATTGAATAAATGTGGCCAATTTGGATAATTCAGATAGAAAATGTACCTTTTCTTTAAGGCCGCTACATGTGTGTGCGTGCGCATGTCTGGCCAGAGTTATTAAAATAGAAAGTATGGCTCCTTGCCATTTCAGTTGCCCATTTAGGCGTTCAGAGAATATGGACTCTTTTGTGTGAGACCTAGATTTTGTAATTTTAGCTTAAGATAACATTTAATTTAAAATGGTATTTTTTGTAGGATACAGACTTACCAGTTGATTTGCTCCATAGGACATGTAAAATATTCCCGGATAAAGCTAAATATAAATGCAATAATCATTATAAAATGCATTTTCCAAGATAAAATTTTAAGTAAATTGTAGGCAAAGACATATTTTTAAAAAACTTACTGGTGATGGTTTATTTTGTGGCATTGGTCCCCGAGATATCAAACGGGCTATTTGGAACACCTTTAAGTGGTAGAAATCAGAATCAGTAATTCATTTTTGCTATAACTTAGGAAAGCCTCCCATTATGGCCATTTCTAAGAGTTACAGGAAATAGCATTTTCTGGTGCATTAGCATAACAAATAAGTATTTAATATTTAAGAAAACAAAGGAAAGCATTATACTTCATATTCATGGATAAATGGGGCAATGAACATTTTGCACTCTTCTTTCTTGAAGTATAGATATTTCCCCCAAGAAAGTGTCTCACTGAGATCTGTACTTACCGATGGACCCTGCAGATCAGCAAAATCCATTCCTGGTAGCTGCATCACAGATAAACATGAAAATTACTAACCCATAAAAAGAGAACTGGATACACTCTTACCTTATTTATGACTATGAGAAAACAATCTAAAATGAGTTTCCTGATTTTCACTTTCATTTAGTCTTGGACAGTACACCTAAGAGATAACAATTGCATTTTACTGTCATGTCTCAAGTGCGCGGGCCGGGAGACAGGGCTTGTCTACCACGAATTTGCCTTGTTTTGCAGAGTAGAAAATAATGAGTTTGGGAATCAGAGCATGCCAGGTTGGTTTGAATCCTGGTGCTGCCACTGAATTATTCGGTAATACTGGGAAAATTTTATAACTTGTCAAAGTCTGTCTTCTTTTTAAAAAGGATGATAATATCTATCTTTATAAGAATGTCATCAGGATGATATGGGGGACTGTCAAACGCCTGCCACATACTTGTTACATGGTACCTTCCTTTCTTCCCACTGCTCTTGTCTCTACGTTATTACATGATCACCTTCTCTCTACCAGCCAGAGAAATAATAATCCCAGATGCTACTTGCAATGCTGTGGGATCAATCACTTCTTTCAGTCCTTCCAACAAAGAAAAACATCCCGGTGATAGGAAGAGAGGGCTTCTCTGGGCTGTCCTATTTCCTCTGAAAGCTTTCATCTTTTTGCAACTAAGGAACAATCTTATAGGAATGGTATCTTTTAGGATCCATGCCTTGTCTCTGATGACAAAAGACAGGAATGGAAATTTATGTCCTGCTCCCAGATATGTCAACTGCTTAAAAACATATCTGTATTGTCGTATATTATGCCTGAAAGTTCTGATGATTGAAACGGGCTCTGCAAATCAGTTTTCCTTCTCTGAGTTAGTGGGGAACCCTGATTTGACTTCAGAGAAAGGGAATTACCTCGGCTTTTGGTGGCTTGTCTGTTGGCGCCACCTGCTGTTCGACCATCGGCCCTTCTGCTTGCTGCAAGGGCGGTTGTCCCTGGTAAACCGGAGGCTGAGGTCCTCCCTTCGGGGCTGTGTCCTGGACGTCAGTCACAAGAGCGGACTGGAGGAAGGGTTTCTGTCCTGGCTGTTGGGGCTGCAGGGATGGCTGCGATGGGAGAGGTGGGGGATGCACAGGCAAAGAATATTCATACTGCAGAGAAATTTGAGAGGAGTGTCAGGAAGGGAGAGCTCTCTGAGCTGTGGTATTTAGAAGTTCTAAAGCAAAGGGCTTGAGAAAAGTTCTGCTTGCAGGAGAGTCTAGGGGAATTGTTTCGGAGCTCTGTTTGTGTAGGAAGCACCGATTTATGTGCAGGCAGTGTTATCTGGGGAGGTCTGTTGTGTCTCCCTTGCTTCCTTTGGGACTACCTGTGCTCAAGAATATGGAGAACTATTGGACTTCCAGGTGGAGTCGTCATTTCCTCCTCTGAGTTCCTACAGGCATGTCTGTTCTACCACTTTCTCACTGGATCACAGAGATTTGTTAGTTATCTTTGCCCCTAGTCCACTGATACACAATAATATGTGTTTCTTGTCTTTTTGGCCTTGGACTTAACGTGGTTCATAACAAATGCCTGGCATAGGTAAATAATATATATTTTTCTGTTAATGAAAGGAGAATGAATTATTAAATAAAATGCCAAGATCCTGCATTATGGAGTGCATTCTGGAAACAAGCAAGTGGAGAAACAGTCACTATTAACATAATTTATGGTCCCGTGAAATGTGGATTAGTGAGTAATGCTGCTTGTCACAGAAAGCCTACTGGAATCAAAGGTTCTGGTTAAAACAACCGTGTTTATTTGTTCCTTTTTGAAATTAACTGTGGTGAAGGGCTCCCTGTTATTTTTAAATCCTTTGCAAGATCCTCAGAGTGTCTGGAAGTCTCTCCTTAATCTGGCTCTTCTCTGCCTCTCCAGCTACTGCGTTATCTCGAAACGCCCACGGCTTTTATTACTTATTCCTCACAATTTGGCACCTTGTCCTGCAGTGTCTTGTCTTATCCCCCAGGCGGATGTGAAACTTCATGGACCTTGGAGCCATTCTTAAAGGTTTTCACTTTCCCTTCCACTCTACGGTTGGGCTTACGCGTTTCTCAGACACCTAACAACTAATGGTGAACTGAAGGATGTATTTTTGATTGCTCCAGGGTCTGTGGTATTTTACCCAGGGCTTTGGCATCATTTTAAACACGATTTTGAATAATTATTTGGGAAATCTTGACTAAAATGAGAGTTTGTCCAAGCCATCGTCTGCTTCCACCTTGAAGACAGTTAATCTGTTGTTATTGTTCGTGTTGTTAATGTAAGTCTCTTACTATATTTTGGAGGCCATATCTTCCTATGTGAAATAAATGTATACATAGGTCGAAAGTTTGGGCCTCTTTATTTAAAATTTTCCCAAGTACTGAAAACAATTATAGGATTTGATTTATTAATATTTGGATCACTTTCTGTTCATTAGTATTATCTGTCTGTAGCTAGTTTATGACAATTTAGAGAAGACCAAGAGGGGAATATTTTTAAGCTTGAAGTTTCAAGCACATTGATATAAGTAACCTACCTGTTGAGTTTCATGTTCCCTTGGTCTCATCCATGGGAAGGAAGAATGTGGTGGGAGGAGACCATGCATCCACAAAGAATTAAATGATTTTCCAAAACCAAATCTTGAATACTAAAGACATGCAGGGGGAAAAAAAAAAAAAGACCACATGCTTTTATTTCAGTATTGGCTTAAACTTGGTTATCATTTTCTATAAAATCCACAGAAAGTGTAGAGATAGCAAAAGTAAGTGTGACATCAATGAATTTAATATGGGTGGGTAAATATTCTCTTCCAACAGACTTCCCTTCCATTCTGAGCCAGACTTCAACATTTCCATAAACTTACTTGACATTTAGCCTTTTAAGCCCCCATATTTTGGACTGTTTAATAAAACTAATGGCACAAAATTTGAGCTTTTTTCTTACTCAAGAAAATTCCATATTGTTTTACCTACCATCCCATCCCAGGATCTTATTTTGTTTTAGGTTATTTCAGTTAGTCATTTTTTCTTCCAATATTTAGGATAATGTCTACTCACTAACACATTTTAAGAGTTATGATGTTGTTAATATCACTACCACCACCTCCATTAATTCTTGCAATAAGAGATATTTGAAACGCGGTTTACCTGAGAAAGCATGTTTAGTCCCTGCAAACTTCCCAGCTGTCTCATTGTCTAGCAAGAAAAAAAGTGGGTTAGCGTTTGCCACATATATTTTCTGTATGATACAACTATTTTGTCAACATACGGTATTATTAGCACAAAGTTTGTGGTGGGTCATTTTGAATAAAATAAAAATAGACACAAATCATTATTGAGAAGTGGAAATGTTAAATGTGGTTTTGCTATTGTTGTTGTTATTGCCATTAAATTAGTAAGCTTGCTTTTTAAATCACTAATCAAATAAGACAAAAAGTATCATTTAAGTGGAGCTCTCATTGAAACATTGGAAAATAGCTCATTCAATTGAAATAGAAATTTAACTGTGAGAATATTGTTTCATTGACTCCCCCACACTTAATTTATTTTGCCTTTATAAATTCAGCCCCCAAATAGGCAAACAAACAAAAAAAGACAAAACAAAACAAAACAAACCCTACCTCCTTTCCAAATAAAAAAGGCCTCAAAATAATGAATACAAAAAATCTTGGGGAAAATGGTGACCATCTGGATAGATGACCAAGAATGCTGACAATTCAACGAAAAGTCAATCTCAATTTAATGGGAAGCGATTTAGAGTGCTTTGAGTTGATTTTTAAGCTAGAAAGTGAGAAAAAAAATAACTCAGTGAAATTAGCTTCCTTTCAAAATAAGCTTCTAGCCTTTGTAAGTATTGATTCCCCCAGATTGTCATGATACAAATAAATTCTGCAAGGTCTTACGTAAAATTTGTGATCTCAGAAATATTTTTCTATTCAGAACTGTCAATATTTTCTATTGATATGGTCAAATATTTCTACAGTGCTGAGATTTTTCTAAGCACTATTATTAGTTATGAGAACTGCAGGAAGGCACACACAAGGTGGGAAACAGGTACTATAGAACTATAGAACAAGGTTAGTGTGATCTATAGGAGTTCTTATAAACAACTACATTTTGTAAGGTAAATTTTCTTCATGGGAATATTTTCATATAAAATACCATGAGGTGATGGAATTAAATATAAACCACGTGTGGCTTCAGAACAATGTTTTAATTAATGTAGTAATTATGTTAATATAGTTATTATATAGATATATATTAGGTATTAAATATTAGTATTGTTCTGATTCACACACAGATGACATTCCTAAGATACCTGAGAGTTTAAAATTGCAGTAAAATGATAATATGAGGCTCTAATAAATATCATACACTTCTCTGAAGCTTCTCTAGACAAGTCCTGACTTGCAGCTAGGAAAACAGAACCAGCCCATGGTGTTTCTCTCTCTCTAGGACTATACTGACAATACATACCTCCAGGCTCAAACTAGCCATGCCTGGTGTCCCAGGTTGCTGAGGAAACACCTAGATGGAAATAAGAATAATTTTGAGATCTCTGTTGAGAACCTTCCTTAAATGCACTCTGGAAATACAAAGCTAACCCAGTACGTAGAGGTCAGCTGAGGGCTTTTGACTTGAGCCTTTAAGCAGAAGAAAGAGGAATTTAAATAATTTGGGGAATTCACACCATATTTAATAATTTTGTTTCCACATGAACCATCTATCCTTTGTCTGTATCTTAATGCAGCAAAATTTGATTTAGTTGGAGGTTACATTGAAAACAAGAAATAAAATAAAACTACAAAATAGAATACCAAGAGTACTTTGTATTCTAAAAATTTATCCCATGGGACAACAAAAGGGACAAACTTAAGCTTAATTTTCTTGCACATTTGGCAAACTTACCTGCTTCTGGTTAATGGAATGTGGCTGAGATCATGGCATTCAGCAAAACCAAATGCAAAACCTAACTTGCCACCCATTCAAGGGGATTCAACAAATCCTCCGTCATCTTTCATGAAAGGTTATTTTATGTAAAAATCTATTGATCTGTGTTTATATTTTTGGGGTCATATCCGATATATGATTTTTTAAAATAAATTTTAAATAAAAATTTTTAAAAATTCTAGTCAAGTGTCATTATACTTAATGTGCTCACTTAAAAGTTGTTAAATTTGTTAAAAATACAGTTATACTTACACACTTTTTATTTTTATTTTTTATTTTTAAAGATTTTTATTTATTTGACAGACAGATCACAAGTAGGCAGATAGGCAGGCAGAAAGAGAGAGGAGGAGGAGGCAGGTTCCCTGCTGAGCAGAGAGCCCGATGTGAGGCTCTATCCCAGGACCCTGGGATCATGACCTGAGCCGAAGGCAGAGGCTTTAACCACTGAGCCACCCGGGCGCCCATATACTTACACACTTTTTAAAGTGGGAGATATTTTTCTTTCTAAAGCAATCCCTATTAATAGGCACAAATACTGGTAGAAAAATATGGAGAATGGAGGAGTAAGAATTAGGGTACATTTTGACGGTCTCTAGTTCTTTGGAAATCCTTATTATTGAGAGTCACAGGTTCTTAACTCCTTCCTGCCTTCATTTATACCCCAAATACTGACAGAGTGTCCACTAAATATATTGGGATTATTTATTTTTTATGAGTAAGAAGTTCAGGGATAGTTTCTTGAGTATGTCATCTACCCTCCACCTTTTGCTTTTTTAGACAGATAAAACCTCACCCTCTGGTGCAAATTTCTCCGAAGAATTCAGTTTTAGCAATGGATCACAGGAAAGGAATTATAAATGTGTAACAAGTTCTCCAGGCAGAGAAAAAGATCAGGTGTGTAGACAGGAAGAGTGATGTGTGTGTTTGTGGTGGGGACGTGAGCAGGTTGTTTGGCCTTTGAGAGGACTGCGAGAGTAAAGTCTTCCATCCTCTCATTGGCCAGTACACAAATAGGGTACACTGGACAGATCCAACTACAGGACAAAGTCTACTTTGCTTTCCATTTGCTCCAAGTCAGGGTTTAAACAATATTTACATGAATGTAAATGGACAGAGGATACATTTCCAACAAGGAAGTAAAAGGAGAACACCTAACTTGACAGGCAGTCAGTTGGCAATCCCAAGCAATTGTGTCCCTTGGGGGTACACCTGATTGACACAGGTGTGGACCAGCATAGGTTCCAGAGGTGTCAAAGGAGTCAAAGTATTAGACAGATAGTTGATGGCTGAGGCTGACTCCGATGTCAGTATCACAGAAAAGCAAGCTAGGGTGGTGGCTTCAATTTTTCTTTCACTTAAGGTTCACGTTGGGTAATAGAATAGAGCTCTTTTTATTTGTAGAATTGAGATTTTCATCCTTGTAACGAGTTTTATCCCTTTCCTCCCAGACATTTAACTTTAAGAAACCCAAGTAGCTAAGCTCTTTTCTCAGGGAACTGGAATATTTTAAAGTTCACTGGAGTCCAACTATGAGTTAGTCCCTCAAGAGGGGAGACCACGTCATATTTACCTTCATCCCTCCAGTGACCAGCACATTGCTGGGTACACGGCAAGTGCTCAATCAATATCAGCCACATGCACGTAGAAGTTGAAGAAAGTCTTCATGAAAACAGAAACACATACTACTGGCAGAGTAGTTCAGGACTTAGAGGATTGCATTCATAGAAAATCAGATCAATAAGTGATAGAGTGAACCTGGTGTACGACTGTAACACACAATTAGCCCCATTGCCGTGGCATGTTTTGACTCAAGAAACTTAAGCTGTCAGTCACACAGTATCTCCCCCATAAGACAAATCTGTTGATTAATTACTAGATTCAAATGGATCTCTTTAGCTCTGTTTTGGAATCATCATAACTTGGCTAATATTCTTTTAAGAATGAAGAAAACATACTTCGCTTTTGTGGAGGAATTTCTTCTCCATTTCAATTACATAAAGGTAGCGAGTAGTTGACAATGAAAGGGTGCCCTGGCCCTGTGGAGGCTACAGAAGTCCTTTATCTTTGAATGAATGGAGTAAGACTTCAAAATTGCCTTTGGAATATTATAATATCTTTTTGAATAGAAAAGTTATATATTTGAATTACTCCTTTTGGATGGTAAGACTGATGTCTGGGCAACTATGACTTTGACTCAGTAGGAAGTCTGCCACCGGGTTAATTCAGATTTGTCCATGCATGGACTTCAGGCCACGTCCTTCAGCACTGCCTAGGATCCAACAATATCCCTCTTAGGGCACAGTCTAAAAAACTCTGACTTACCGGCACAGCAGAACTCATTTCCAGGAGGCATAAGATCAGTATCAGGTCCTTCATTTTGAAAAGTGGGATCTGAAACGGAGTTAAGTCGGAGAATTAAATCAGATGCATTTTTATTTCAGAGTGGTTAAAAGACAATACTTCAAATGAGCCGCATCCCTGTTCTGCCAAAACAGTTTCAAAAAACAAAACAAAAAATACAACTAAATGTTTCTAAATAGCGTGTTTGTATTTGCTAGTTTTTGGAATGAATTGGCAATCAATTAAAAAGTATCTAAGTAATTTTTTTTTTAATGGAGCTACAACCTAAATGAACCTGAGGAACAACTTCAGTGCTGTGCTCTTTAAATGTTGTATTCCATTTTGTAAAATGAATTATGATTTTGAAAACCCTTTCCACTATGTGAAATTTTGGTCTATTAAATATCATCCATGTGCTTTCTTTCCAGAGTAAATTTTGAAATGCATTCAAAATATAATGAACCAATTATTTTAAAGCAAACTTTTATTTGCAGGTATGTTAGAGCATCTGACTCTAGGCTCCAGTTACCCAGATAACCATGCCAAAATTTATCTTTTTAAAGACAAGAATACACTGATTTTTTTAATCGCCTTTGACATCAGTGGGAAATATGTCTCAAAACTGAGCTTCTCTCTTTCTTTTTATTTTTCATTTTTAGGAAGTTTTTTTTTTTTTTTTAATCTATTAAAGAGAGAGTGAGAGAGAGCAGGACAGAGAGTACAAGCAAGTAGGAGCAGAGGGAGAAGCAGAATCCCCCCCAGTGCGGGGGTCCCAGGACCCTGGGATCATGATCTGAGCTGAAGGCAGATGCTTAGCCAACTGAACCACCCAGGTACCCTGACTTTTCCTCTTCCTAAAATGAATTATCTCTTTAAGTTTATTTAAGTTGAAAGCCTCTTTACTCTTACACAAACAGAAATCTGACTAGCCAAGAGATTTGCTCATTCTTTTAATACCTTTCTAAATTAGGCCCTCTCACTAATAATAACAAACAGTAAAAAAAAAAAAAAGTCTATAGATTTGTTTTCCTTAGCTGATAGGGTATAAAAGACATGTCTTTTCTGGAACATGCTATTGGTTTACAATAAACTATTATTCAGCTTCTGGTGACATATAAAAATCCTCTTTATAAAAGCTTCCTAGAGATAGAAAAAAAGAATGTATAGGAATCACATGGAAATCATAAAAATCACATTTTACCTTCAATGCTGACATGCACTGTGTTCTCAGGGCCTGGTGATGCCAACCGAGACAGTTCTAAGAAGACTAAATTTTTTTCTGGACTGTGCCTAGGATTCGCTCTGTATCTCTCATTCAGGGAAGACCAGAAACCTTTATTTAAAGTGCCAATCCACCAATCAAAGTGGAGCGAAACAGGGAAAAAACCAAACTCTGCTCCTGTAATTAGCCCACACCCTTTTATTGCATGCAAGGACATTGGCCCTGTGGAGGCTCGTTATTTTTAACTGTAAACCAACCCTTGTATATATTCAGGGAACTCAACTGCGCACAAGACAGTAAAGGAATAATGGACATAAGTTCTGAAGACAATCATTTTGGTGAGCTGAAGGGAATATATACAAAAAATAGGTGTAAAATCAACCATTATCTGTTTGTGTAGGTTTTTATCTGCAGATAAAGCTAGTGACCCAGTGCCTGTTTTCAAGATGTTCACCCTCATATTTGTTGTCGTAAAAGTATCCTCCCTCCCTTACCCTAACACACACATAGTCTAGAAGGAAACGTAAAATAATGTTCTGAGCTTGAAGGAGAACAAGGAAGTATTAGACAGATAACGAATACATTGTGATTTTTTTCTTCAGATTTTCCTAGATAGTTTTATATCTGAAGATAATAGAGTAGAATTAGCCAGGCTTTTTTTCTTTTCTTTCTTTTTTTTTTTTTTTTTTTGAGATTTTATTTATTTATTTGACACAGAGAGAGAGAGATCACAAGGAGGCAGAGAGGCAGGCAGAGAGAGAGGGGGAAGGAGGCTCCCCACTGAGCAAAGAGCCCGATGCGGGGCTCGATCCCAGAACCCTGAGATCGTGACCTGAGCTGAAGGCAGAAACTTAACACACTGAGCCACCCAAGTGCCCTAGCCAGGCTTTTGTAAGAAATTTTAACTGGACCCTCTGAGAGGATCACTTCAGGTAAACCTTTGGTGCATGTTCTTTGCAGGGAGAGGGGTATAAATCAAAATATTTTCCAGGAAACAATCAAGTCAACGGGCACTCATCTAACCTCACTCATCTTCAGACAGACCCACT